TAGAGGAAAGAGGTGGGAACTGTTTGGGAAGCTGAAAACCATACATGTAGTTCAGCTTATCAGGCATGGAATCTAGTTTCCTCTCGCAGACTCACAGAACCACTCAATTGAAACTATGAGCCCACTGGTTTCCCTGGGAATTAATTTCAAGTAGAAGGCACTATATGGTCCTAACTCTCCTGATCCAAGATATTAAACCCCCTGCTCTGTCACTTGCCAGCTAGGTGACCTTGGACAAGTCATTTAACATCCCCCTAGTCCTAGTGTCCTCATCTGCAAAACAGGTAAAGATACAGCCCTTGTAGTATTGCTGGAAAGAGCACATAAAATCACACGTGGAAGGCCTCAGGTAAAGTGTTGGAAGAGTCTGTGCTCCCCTCAATGCTCTCTCAGAAATGGAACCAACCAGAGATGAACAGAGCACGCGGTTCTTAAGGGCAGAGCTCCCAGAGATGGGCTGCCTAGGGTCAAATGCCAGCTGTGCAATGTCTCTGTGCTAAAATGCCCCCATCTACAAGATGAGGGTAGTAATAATGATCCCTGCTTTGGAGGGTTGTGGAAGTCCTGAATTACTACATGAAATGGGCTTTGAACAATGTTTGATGCATAGTAAGAATGGCGTGTTGGCTTTTTCTTTCTTCCAGAAAACACGTCGATGGGGATCATTGATAATATTGTAGTAATTAGCACATGATTAGACCTCCCAGATGATCTTAGAAGTTATGTATACTTGGTAGTAAATCCTACTTACTACTATCTATCTACTTACTACCAAGTATACAGGAAGGTACATCAGCTGTGAATACACATACACACATGCTCACACACCACTGAATTATGGACTAAACAAACATGATGATAACTGTTTTGTCCATTAGGTCAAAACTCACTAGACATACTCAAGGCAGAAGGGTACACACATATCTATGATGAGAGGCAGGAGCACTGGAGTTAGGGTTATACAGACTTGCCTCGGGTCCTAGCTCTGCTCTTTCATAGTGGTCTGACCTTAGGCAAGTCACTTAGCCCGAGTTTCATCCATAAAAGTATTGGGGCAAGGTCAGGGGAGTTAACTCCCTATCTCACCATCCTGTCATTGCCCCCTGGTAGGGACAACATAACCCTTAGCAGGCTCTAACTCCCCAGTGCTCCCAGCCTAACAGTTTTGGAGAGATTCCTCTTTCTTCCTGCAGAAGACCCAGCTCAGACTAGCCCATGGGCTGCTTGATTTCCCCGAGACCCCTAAAGAGCAATGTGAAGAATGTTAAGAGAACAGCAGCTGCCGAGCTCTGGGAGGCAGGAGCGCTGGCCAGGGATCCAAGACCCCGCGCTATGTTTACTCAAACTGCAGAGCATCTCTAGGCTTTACAACTGTTTACTGGACAGGAGGCAGCAAGACAGACAGCCTTTCTTTTGGAGAAAGCCAGCCCAAGTGCCGCTCACTCTAGGAATGGCTTTGACACTGAGCTTCTGGAGGTGAGCAAGGCTTGGGGCACAGGGTGGGCACACACATCCCCTCCAGGGAGCAGAGAAAAGGCACTGGGAGGTGAAGCTGGAAATAGAAGAAGAGATGGGGACAGATAAAAACAAGGGCTGTGGCCAGAACACAGGACATAAGAGACAGAGACAGAAACTGGGCAGATCAAGGATGGAGACCGGACTGGGCCAGCACAGGGTCCAAGGTAGACAGTGTGGATCACACGGGTTTGTGGGTAGAGGGTAGAAAGAGGCAAGTAAGCACAGAGCAGAGCTGGGAAAGGGGTAGCAGTCAATGCAGGCTTGTGTGATAATCCGGGGACCCTCTATTGCCCCAAAGGGGCCCACAGGAAATCTAGGGAGGGGGATGTCCAGTCAGAACCCACATTCTCGCCCTAACCTGTGCATGCTTTCCAACAGCAAGCAAAAGAAGCATGATTTATTTAAATTAGGACTGGCAAGATTCACTTCTTATGCTAAAATTATGACATAAAAATACTCAGCTGAAATGCCACCTCTCAAAACCAACGCCCCTGGAAAGTTATAGTCAAGCGTCCCCATCCCAGCACTCTGTACCTTTAAGGAGAAGTTTCTCTCTGCTTCCCGGCTGAAGAGGCAGGTTATTCTTGGATATAGTGATGACTTACCTAAAACTGAGTTATTCCCCTTTCCTCCTCTGGCCAGCCTCTCTTCACTCTGGGGAGCTTTTACCATTTAAGGTCAATGTTACATCTGGCTCCTCGGAACTTGGAGCTGAGAAGCCTCTGGCTGTGGAGCCTCAGCCACCCGCCTCCTCGGAGAGGGGCTGGGACTTAGAGCCCAGAGCTCCTCCGGGAGCCCTCTTTGGCAGGGTCCGGGGGCTAATGGCAGGGGAAGCTGACCAGGCTGTCCCAGGGCTCAGGGCAGGCTGGGCCTGTAAGGCAGCAAGTCGCCCTTGGCCCCTCCCACAGGCACGCGCACAGCTGATGGCAGTGCCCATGGGCAGCTCATACCACTGGGCAACGTCCTGGCCAGACGGAGACCAAGGGAACTCTGCAGAGTCGCCTCCCAGCCCAGAATCTTTAGCAAACATGTGAGCCTGGACAAGACCCTGGCTTTGAGCCAGGAGAAGCTGGGAACATTTCCTGTCCCAGGGACCTGGGGGCGGAGGCTGCTCCCACCTTAAACCCTTGGGATTACCGGAAGAAGGGCCTGGGAGATTCAGCTAATCAGAGACCTGGCACCAGCTGCAGGGGCTTCAATCCTCCTCCTCCACGCAACAGCCCTGTGGGCTTAGCATCGTGGAGACTCAGTTTCCCATCTCTAAAGTGGGAATAATAGTGATAACACCTAATTCACAGTGTTGCAGGAGGATGCAATGAGATAATATTGAAAGGCTTAGCACAGTGCCGGCATCTCATAGGTGACAATCGGCACAAGTTCATTTCCTGCTCCTGCCCAGACACAGGCGAGGAAGGGCTGCCTCTTTCCTGGAAGCCCACACCCTGTCCCTACTCTCTCCTCACCCACTTTGGGTGCAGTGCTCACCTAGATCCAAGATAATGGAGCTCCAGGCTCTGGGCAGGTCACGTGGGAGCTCTGCCTTCTTCTGAGGTTGGATGCAACAGAGGAAAGCCCTAGGTGGGGTTAGCAGATAAACTACAGGACACCTACTTAAATTAGAATTTCAGAGAAATATCACATAACTTTTTAAACATAAGTATGTCCCAAATATTGCACCAGACATACTTATACTAAAAAATACGGTTTTTTGTTTGTTTGTTTGTTTGTTTTATCTGAAATTCTAATTTAACTGTGCATCCTGTATTTTCATTTACTAAATCTGGCAACTCTAGCCTGGGGCCATCACATGTCACCCATAATGTATTCACCAGTCATTCTGAGAACTCTAGGGATTCGTGTTTCAAGGCCTGAGGCCACAAGCCCTCCTGGTGATGGCTGCCTGGCTGTACACAGTCCTTATTCCTAGCTCCTGGCCATGGGTCAGTCGCCCCAATCATAACAGGCTTTCTCCACCGAACCTGGCCCACTGGGCCTCTATCCCAATCCCTTCCACGGGGATCTCGTCCTGGACACTCCCTCCTCCCTGGTTGTTATATGAGAGATTCCCGATGAAAATGCAGTACATGCTGTCTGTTACACCCATAAATAATTGTATTTTTGTAGATGGAACCGGAGGAGATTCCTGGGAACGAGTTATGCTTTTTCTCAGGTGTCTATACCTACCCGTCATCCAGGTATGGGCTTCCACTGGCAAAGCCACATGGCGGTAACTACTAGAATTGCAGGTATAGGGGACTAGAAGAAATTTACTAAAACTTTTAGTACTATTTCTCCAAATTCATTGTGCATTAGAATCACCAAGTGTGAAGTTCCTTGGACCCCTCTTCCAGAAATGCTAATTCCATGGATCTAAAGTGGGACCCAGGAATCTGCATTTTAATTAAGGCCCTCAGGACCCCGCTTTGGGGATTGATCCTCCAAAGATCCATATTGTGAATCCAGCAGGAGTTACTACAAATACAACTAAAAGCATAAGTTGAAATGGAACCAACAGCTTTGTGTACATGTAAGGGTGTGTGTGTGTGTGTGTGTGTGTGTGTGTGTGTGTGTTTCTCTGTGTGTGTGTACAAACTGTATATTGGGCACCTACTTTGTTCCAACCACTGTATTAGATGCTGTACAGAAAAGCAAGTGCCTTGCAAATGCCCTGTGAAATAGAATTATACGTTTCCATCAAAAAGGAAACTGACTTGAAGAGGTAAAACAACTTGCCTGATGTTCCACAGCTGGTAAGTGGTAGAGCTAGCACTGAACTTAGGTAGTTTGTTCTTGAAGTTCTTTCCCCTGTACCATATGTCCTCCCCTTCAGCCAGGATTTCTTAAACTAGGGTTCATGAATAGCTTTCAGGGGTCTCTGAGCCAACTAAAATTGTATTCGAAACATCATGTGATTTGTGGTTTTCTTGGATACAGGCCCATAGCTTTCACCAGACTTGCCAAGGGGTCACCAAATAGCCTTTAAAATCACCTCATTAACACAAGAATTTCCTAAAACACATTCCTGGTTGGTGTGTAAAATGAAACAAACACTATAGAAGACAATTTAGCATTATCAAGATTATAAGGCTCGTATCCTTTGACCCAAATCCACTTCTAAGAATTTATTCTATAAACACACTCCCACACTTAGGAAATGACAAATGAGCAAGATTATTTACCGCAGCTTTGTCATAAAATTCAAAGGATTGGAATCAACATAAATATTCACCAACTGGGGGCCATAAAAGATGATGGGGTTCAGCCATAACAAAGGATAAGGAAGCACTCTGTGTATCAACATGAAAAGCCTCCAAGATATATAGTTAAGTGGAAAAAGTAAGATAATAAAACAGTATATAAATGAACACACACACACACACACAAGTACATATGTGTGTGCGCACACAATCTCACTGTAATTAGCACAAGAAATAAATAACATTAACATTAGTTGCCCAC